GTTTCGGTCCGCCGTCCCCCCCCCCCCCCCCCCAAGCATGCAGGTGCTACTCTGCGGTACCACAGACAGAGTTAGCGTTAAGTTTACAGGGGTGGGCGGTGTGTCTTGCGGGAATGCTCAAAATGACGTTGAATTGATACAACGTTGAATTCAGATTTCAAAAAGGGTTTACACGCCAACGTAACACCCCATGGCATTTTTGAAGCGCCCCCTCCCCTCGGAGCGCTATGCCCCGTCAGCTGGACCCTGATCGCTAAACTCTAGTAACTATAGGTACTACTTTAGGACAATAAAGGCTTACGCAGGCCCCGGCCCAACGCCCACCAGGGATGGGAGGCATTTTGCGTGTGGCTTACAGGGCAAACCAATTGCTCGGGAAGACATGGCACCACAAGCAGCTGATTTCAACAAGCTGAGCGTTTTTTTGTCGTGTGCCCAGTCGAGACCGCAATGTGAGCACACGACTTGCTGTCTACAGACTGTTCCTCGTCTGGCTAGCGCCTTGGCAAGTAGCCGTGGACTGTGAAATGCGATTGGCGCCCATCACTGTGCCCCGTGACGCAGCCTCGAAACAGCCACCACTGCTCGGCTTCTTTTACTCTGATTTCTCCGCCTTTTTCCATGGCATGCTGTCCTTTCCTTACTCGCCACCAGCAGCATTCCATGTCCAGATCCCGGTGCCCCGACCCCACACTTCATGTAGGGGAAGACGTAGACGTTGGCCCGCCGTGCTGAGCTCAGCTTATGATCCCGACGCCCGGTAGTGAGTTGTATTTACTGGAAGCTTGATTCCTGGCTTCTCCAATCGCAAAGTCTGTATCCGGACCCCTTTCCGTGCAGTGTCTTGGTGTTGAGACAAGCATTGGCTCCGTGTCAATCAAGATGCTATCAAAGCCAAGCATGAGGCGAGCTGTGTATAGGAAACAAGGTTGCAGATACTCAGAAACAGTCCAAGATCCAATGCTGCAGCGTCACTCACCATATCCTGCGCCGTCAAACTCTCAGAGTAGCGGTCAGATCTACTATCTGTGCATGTTATTGGTCTTGTTCGCGAAACATGCACTGCCATCGTATGATCAACCACTCATAACATAGCATCCCGCTGCACACTTGCGTATATCTGCTTCACTAATACCTTGGATAGATACATGTACATGTCTGATTACAGCCTACTCTCTTCCCCGACCATTCGTACCTCCAATAGACTTGCGTGTCTCTGCAGAAACTTCTCAACGCTGTTAACAAACTTTTCAAGCTCCACCCAAATTGTTCCTAATATCACTGCAAGACTTCCCTGCTGCGAGATCCAGAAGCCGTCTTCCATCATTTCAATCCAAAACAGCATGCTCAAGTCTCTATTCTCGAGGCGATCCTGGTAGTTCTTCAATTCCTTTTTGCCGTCGTGTAAGAAGTGAATGCCCAGGATCGTTCCTAGATCAGTGACGGTCATTTTCGTACCATGTGAAAGGCTCGGGAGACGCTGGCGGAATTGATCGCCCATGACGTTGAACTCACGACTCACTTGAGCCGCGTACACTTGCGCCAAACCAGTATACCCTGCAGTCATGCCGAGTGTGTTATTGTTGAATGTGCCCGAGTTTCCTAGCGAGTTCTTCTCTCGCGGATCATAACCCCGCATGATGTCTGCTCGTCCTCCAAAGGCGCCGAACGTGATCCCGCCACCCAGAAATTTACCTAAAGTGGTAATGTCGGGCGTCAAGTTTTCGAGCTCTTGCAGTCTCCCTGGTGACAGGCGGCTTGTCTGCACCTCATCCAGAATGAACACGGCACCATCTTTCTTTGCCGACGATTGGACCTGCTGCAGGAAATCATGGGTGCCGACAAGATATGGCCCTCGACCTTGCATACCCTCGACCAATACCGCAGCAACATCTTCAGACTCTTCAATCTTCCTCTTCGCATCCTCAATGTCATTGAACTCTGCAACGATCCAATCGTCCTTGTCGACACAGTTCTCTGCGGGGTGGTTATCGGGAAAGAGATAGCACCCTCCGTGGTATCCGCCCGAGAACACGACAACCTTTTTCTTTCCAGTAAAACGCCGAGCGCCCTGGATAGCATGCAAGTTCGCCTCTGTGCCGGAATTTGTAAACCGGACAAGGTCCAGCTTGTATCACTCACATATCAACGTAGCATGTCTTGTTTCCAGCGTAGTCGTACCTCCTAGATTAAGTCCAATATTATTGATGGTATCAATCAGTGCTGATTGGATGACCGGATGCGAGTGGCCATACAACCCGGCTGTGAATTCGTCGACAAGGTCCGTATACGTATGTCCGTCTTCCAATGTGACCTGGTACCCTTTGCCGTTTTTGAGAAAGATTGGAAACGGTGTTGTGTGAAGTGCACTTCGTGTGTTGCCACCTGGTAGCTATTTGCTTGCTTCTTCGTGCAGTTTAAAGCTTACTTGGTTTTTCTTTGCGAATCGTTGTTTTGCAGCTTCGAGTGCTCCGCTTGGGGTTGCATGTCCACTCCTCGCAGTATCGGCCGCGGATGCCATCAAGACTGATTACGGATAAGATAGCTTCGCTCTTTAACAGGCGCTGCGATGTCTATGAGATCCAAGAGGCAAGTCGCCTTTATTATATCGGAAAAGTGGTTCGGGAACGAAGCAGGCAGTCATGCCATGATAGCAGGTGGTGGTCCGTAGCTCATGATTGGCGCGCGTCTCACAACCGCAAGTCGGGGCATTCCGAGCTATTCCGACTCATTCCGAGCATCGAAAGTCTATGTGTTGTGTCGCCTATTCTTCATGTCCAACGATCCTTTATCTCACCTACGTTGTGCTACAGAAGGGCACGCCAGCTCAGCTTTACATGTGCCACGAAGGCGAGTTGTTGCAGCTCTAGCTGCATATCAAAATTGCTCCCGACGGCTTCTCATGCATGACGGAACGCAATCTCATTGGCTTCAAAGCGTACATACTACCGTTCGTCCAATCTTTAACGCGGTGTTAGAAATGTCCTTCTTTGGCTGGAGATATGTCACGCGACAAACGCTATAATCTCTCTTGCTTCAGCTAACAGCGGGCAGCTGTGCCGGTATGTAGCTAAAGCTGCACCCCTCTTCTTAGCTGTTTACGGGCTGTCGGTATGGTTCCAGGGCGAGACTGTACTCCATTTAGCATAGCAGGTCGCCGTCGAGGATCCCTGAATTCATTTTTGCGGATCCATCCTGGTTTTGGCGATGCAGGAATAGGTGAGAGATTCCACAGCGGCGATCCACTATACCAAATGGGGGTATAGTAAATCGCCCCTGTGGAATCTGGTCTCAAGAGAGGCGTGCATGTTTATCGCTTAAACCAGTATGCGAAATCAAAGTTCACACTATTTCAACATCACGAAGCTACATCGAGTACTTCTGCATTGTAATGTGAGGAAATTGTGTACACCCTTCCCACCTACGAGCTACAAGACAGGTCGCGCTACGTCATGCAGCTTCATTGCTTTCTTCTAAACCCACTACACATCATTGGACTGTCAGCACTACAATATCGAAGGATGTATGAATGCAAGTTTTGCAAACTTCTAAAAGGGGATGTTACCGAAGAAAGCATCTTGTGTGAGCATAAGGTTGTGCCTGGCCATTCATGGATCTCTTGGCAAAATTAATAATCCGATATCTGCCGTCATGTCATCTTCTCACTGCCAATCTCAGCGACGCAGTGCCGTCATCTTGCAGACGGTAATATGTTGTGTTATTGTTGAAAAACAGCTTTGTTCAGCTTTTGGGTCTGATTAATGAACATACCATCGCTTTATTCTTGTACATGTGAACAACGAATTGGCTCCCACAGAAACAGCTTCAATAGTGTAAAATTCGTCTACAATGGGGCCAGGTCCTGAACCATACACTATATCCGTCCCCGATGAGGCCATTGAGAAACTAAAAAGAAAACTATCAGACGCCGACTTTCCAGATGAACTTGATACGCCGGACCAATGGCCATACGGGTCACCACTATCCGACATAAAACGTCTAGCAAAGCACTGGGAAACAAAATTTGACTGGCGCAAAGCAGAAGCCCAAATGAACCAACTCCCCAACTACCGAAAGAAAATCAAAGTCAAAGGCTTCGGGGATATCGACATCCACTTTGTGCACAAGAAAAGTAACAATCCAAACGCCATACCCCTCCTCTTCTGCCACGGCTGGCCGGGATCCTTCCTCGAAGTTACAAAACTCCTCCCGTTACTCGAATCCGGCTCCGACTCGCCCGCCTTCACCATCGTCGCCCCCTCCCTCCCCAACTTCGGCTTTAGCCAAAGAATCACCAAACCAGGCTTCTCCCTGACGCAATATGCAGAAACCTGCAATACGCTAATGCAGGACCTGGGCTATACTTGCTACGTCACGCAAGGAGGCGACTGGGGCTTCTACGTAACCCGGATCATGGGATTGCTGTATCCCGACAACGTGCTTGCGAGCCACATCAACATGGTGCGCGCGCACGCCCCAAGTTGGACTTCGCAACCGCTACTGGCGCTGCAGCACGCACTAACACCCTATACCGCCTCCGAAACCGCGGGCTTGCAACGCTCAGCTTGGTTTACGGGCGAAGGCCAGGCGTACCGCCAGCTGCAAGCTACGAAGCCGCAAACGCTTTCTTACGCTTTTGCAGATAGCCCTGTTGCGTTGCTCGGGTGGATATACGAGAAGCTAGTCGAGTGGACGGATGGGTATGAGTGGAGTGATGACGAGGTGCTGACGTGGGTTAGTGTTTATTGGTTTAGTAGCGCGGGACCGAATGCCCATGTGCGGATTTATTATGAGGCGGGGCATAATCCGACGCCTGAGGTGCCAGATAGAGAGAGAGCGAGTGGGTGGGTGGGTAAAGTGAAGTTGGGGGTTGCGCATTTTCCGAGGGAGATTACGGTTGTGCCTAGGGTGTGGGCGAGGACTCTTGGTATGAATTGTTTCATTTTTTTGGTAAATTCATCGCTTCTTTGAGGACTGATACTAATGGAACTTCTTTTCCTGCTTGTTTTTTTTAGGTCCCCTAGTGTACGAGAGCATTCATGACAAAGGTGGTCATTTTGCGGCGCATGAGAGACCAGATGCGATTGCTGAAGATTTGCAGAAGATGTTTGGAAAGGGTGGGCCGTGTTTTGGGATTGTACCTGGTAAGCCTGGATACTAGTACGATTTTGTAGGAGCATCAGGGATTCGAAGTGTGTTTTGCATCTTCAGAAGTATGAATCTCTACTAGTGCTTTGATAGCGAAGAATGTGAATTTGAATAAATGAGTGAATATACTACTATGATATTTCTCTTTCGAATGTTATAGCTCTACACGCGCAGATTTGGTCGAGTTTGTAGTCGAGCTGTGATACTCATCGCTCATTAAACCAGAAACTCTAATGCGCCCACTTCCTACTTCCCCAAAGGCATTATGTGAAAATATTTGAGTTGAATCTGTTCAATTGACTATATTTTATCCGTGTCTGGCGATTATATTGGTGCTGCTGCTCCAGAAGTGATTACAAGTTGCATTAGGTATCTTTAAGCAGCCGATCCTGACGAGTCGAATAAGAGCCAGTGTACTACCATGACAACTCAGCACACCGTCAGCTAATCTCATACACATAAGCGAGGTAACCGCATGAACAGTTCTTCTTGTTGGAGTTTCGCCAGTGATAATACAAGCATTTGTATTCTGGGGGTATTGTTTACAAGCATTGTGCTTCTACAGGGTCATGGCCGGGGCCAGATAAGGTGATACAATGAGAAAGGTGGGAGAATATTTTATCTTGAGTTCTTATGTATGAAGCCTTGGTTTGAACCAAACTACATGATAGAGCACATTGAGAAATATAGTCATGAAAATTATCCATGGTATAGCACGTTGGTCCTTGACAAGAGATTTGGTCAGCACGACATGCTGTATCCGGCCCTGCGCAATCGCTCCGTTCTTTGCAGGAAGGAAGTTCGTTGCGAGCTTGACTATTTCGTGTAGAATTGCATCATGGGAAAAATTGTGCCGTGGCTAGGTGTTGTTTCGTGAGAGCGGGTTAAATTTGCGCTGGAGCTTGGGTAAAAGTGTAGGTCCGATCTTTGCTGGGGAACAACATGTTCCCGGTAAATGACCAATGTGCGGTTGGGTAAGAGTTGTAGGAAATCTGGCTCGAAAAGCTTTTGTGTTTAAGTCTGGGTGCATCTAGTTGACACGTGCGGATCAATCCTCATTCACTCATTCGTCTTTATTACGCGGTCTGAATAGTATGGGTTTCTATAATCAAAATGCGAGGTGCAATTTTTACTTTGGATGATTTGTCGGCTCCCATCTGTTGCTAGCATAGGGCTGCCTCGATTGTAATTGGACATTGCCAGGTGAAGATTGTCAATCCGAAACTGACATGAATGCGTCAGCGAGGTATTTTGTAAACCGTCTGTAGGTGCGTTGAATACTAGAAATTAGTCTGAAACACCTTCAGCCTTTTTTTGCTTGATCAGCATTGTTAGACGAAGATATGGTGAAGGCACTCGGATTACTGCACAGCCCGAGGGTTTTTGTTGTTGTAAAGCCACCATTTCTGATCGGTATCCTCGGAATATTTGTTAGTGCTGATGACAATGTACCGATGTTCTCGAAGCGAAGTAACGGAGTGCAACGAAGATTCTTCCTCGTATTCTAAAGTAAGACCGAGCCGTTCTGCCTTGACACAGATGACTGCATACATTTTGACGAAGTTTAAAGCGATTTGTTCAGTTGACAGAGAGGTGACCGGATGAAAGGTTGTTGTATAAATCCGAAGCAAGTGTAGCGAGCACTCCCCCATCCCAAAAAGCTTGTCATTGTGCCCTGTGGAGCGATAGATTGATGTTCGGCAGATAAGTACCGCAAGGATATAGCTTTGGAAATAGCCGTATATTGAACCCCGCACGGCTTGACATGTCCGTATGACCTTTGATGATGGATGGAATACGAAAAGGGGGTTGATGATGTGGAAATGTACACGAACCATCATCACGACACAGGAGTCATGGAAGATGGGCCTGGATGATTCCAGGGCTGGACCCGTTGAACTGGGGAAGCTTACCTGCTACCACACAATGGTGCCTGCTCCAGGCATCTTGTACTTGGTGCGGAAGATCTGCATAAGAGGGGTTCAAATATCACAAAGTCGTATGGTCTGTACGTAGAGGGCTGCCGCACGGACGTGCTTCAGGGATACGATGGATGTGTTGCGCTATGTCGTTTTGGTCCGTGGCTGCGGAGCATTCTTTGCGCGTGACAAGCGTAAGTAAGCATGTCGACTAAAGCTACCGCGGCGTTGGGTGACTGCAGAGTATTGTTCGTATCCCATCGGATTAGGGTTGAAAGTGGTGATTGTAGTTGACTGGTGGAGCTCTCGAAACTCTGTCTTCATCCATGGCATTATGTGGTCTGCCTGTAAGGTACACGCGTGAATAGGCAACTGAGTCGTTAAGGTTGGATTCTTCGTCAACCCCGAGTACTTATTGAAAGTGGCGCAGCCCAAGTCCACAGACGACACCCTAGCTCAATGGGGGAGTGGATGTGTACGCAGCAGTCAATGCGCGTGAAAATGACCCGGGAATAAGGGCCCAGAATGTCGAGCCACCGGTACCTGAAAGAGCGGGGCCAGGCGGAGCAATGCAGTCATGATACGCGCGACACCAGCAAAGCCTAGTCGCAAAGATGTAAGCAAGAGACAATTGCGCATCAAACAGAAAGCAGTGTCTTAGTTTGGGCAGACGACAGCCACTCGGTGCGAATTGACTCTTGTACGCGGTGCCACAAGTTTCGCAGGCGCTCGCGATGCCAAGGCGCTTTATAAATAGCATCACGGCAGACCCGGCACCGGCCAAAAGCTTGGTACTTCCCCTCACCCTCGCCCTCACCCTCGCCGACACCACTCCCTTGGACATGGCCGTCTCTACGTCGCACACGGCGCCTGAGCGAGGCGGGCTCCAAGAAACAGCGAAGCGCCTCGCCAAGGTCGAGATGCGGGTGAGGAGCCGTCGGGCAGGCATGTGAACAACCTCAGACCTTGGCCGTGTTCATCAATGCTCATCAAACAGAAACCAAGGCACTCTAGCTATGCCTCGGTGCCCTGCGCGGCCTAGCGCCAACCTTCCCAATAGTCGACGGGGCCACGGGCCTTTGACGCCCATGGAACCAGCGGACTCAGGCGCTATCGGAATCTGGCAAGCTCTGGCAAGCCACACGGTACCATCGGATGCTTGTCTGCAACGCCCTCTCCCTGAAGCTACTATAAGATGGGCCCATATGGCCATGCGACCCTGACCGACCGCTCCTGCTGTCGCCGTTTTGCCGTTCCACCTTCCACTCTTTTGTCCTTACGGCTGCCACCATCATTCACCGTGCCTTCACCCACCACTGTTCGCTCTCTTGCACTTACTTGATCTTCTTTTGGCCTTTTGACAGTCCTTCTCTTGCGCCCTTTTTGTCCTTCGTCAGCCCCGCCTTTATTTACTAACATCCCCTCACTTCAAACATGAAGCTGTCCACTTTGCTGTTTCTCGTGCCTTTGGCTAGTGCACGGGTTATTCGACAAGCACAGCAAATACCCATTGTCGACAACGCCGCAGACGATACAACCAGCGTCGAGGATAACACCACACACGCTTCGCCCAGCATTGGCCTTCACTTTACAACGTCACATGCCGTGGCCGCCGCTCATTACCAAAATGGAACAACTAGGGACCTTGTGAGGATGGAAGGAGGCGCTGATTATCAAGATTTAATGCGGCGGTGGTTGTCCTCTAGCTCTGGCTACTCGGGACCATTAGAACCCAGTGATGAAATGGTTTTATCCGGTTTCATGATCCGACTTCACCGAGCCATTGAGACGGAGCTGGATGATTCCGTACAAAAAGCCGCATTGGCCTTATCCCCCCAGGCTCCTAAACTTCAACGAAATTTCCAGAAAGCCATGGTAGCTGCAGGACTTGCTTCGTCCGAGGACAGCGCCGTACTCTATGAAGAAGCAATGGCTACCCATGCCGCTCTCAAACCTGCATCCTCGTGCACCACACAATCGCAATCAGAACACTTGCAACACGTTCTCTTCCTAGCCTTCGACGACGGCGCTTTCAGCGTAAGCATGCATGAATACGCCTGCAGAGACTACACATCACAAGGACACATAATCAACCGCATAATACGCTCTGATCTCGGCTGGTGGCATCTCCCCATGTACGACGCACCACGAGCAAGATTCTGGGCCCAGGTGCAGCAAAGCATCGGATTTGTTCTAAGCCCGCAGGGCAAGGCGCCAGGCAGAATCGTTCTCCTGGGCAGTCACGGCGCAGACGCCGAATTCAAGAGCAGAGTGGAGGACGCTCTTTGGGACGAGCTGGAGATGGACGTTAGCGGCATGTTGAGCGTTAATGAGCGAGGGGATAGCGAATGGCTAGCTGCAAGGGGCGCAGCAGAACTAGCATCGAGGCATAGCGAAAAGAAATACGCTGCATGAAGCTAATTAGGGAAAACCCCCACAGTTCATGGAGAAAGAAAGAAAATGGGAAAGGAAAGGAAGAGAAAAAAAGAGATACCCTTGATATTCTGCCTAGTTCTAAAAATAACAAAGGAAAGAAAGCATAATGAGCATTGCAGCAAATAAAAATAATATTAGATCAAAGGACACCACACATACACGAAATGTAAATCCAAAGTAATACCAAAGATTTCCAAAAAAAAATACACCATGTACAACCAAACTATCCTCACGTCTTCCCCTCCCCTTGTTCTACCTTCGCAGCCCCAATCTCCTCAAAAACACCCACTCCCTTCCTCCCCAACGCAGTCCCCACACCCACCGCTCTCGCCCCAACCCCCCTCATCCGCCTATACCCCTCTTTATCAGCCACACCCCCAACCCCAATCACCTGTACCCCCCTCAACACCTCGTGCTGCGCTAGCATCTGCGTGATGGTATATACATTGCCCAGCGCGAGGGGGTGCAGCGGTGTGCCTGCTAAACCGCCGATGCCCGTGCCGTTTGCTGAGGCGAGGGTTGGGTGGAAGGATGTGGTGGTGGAGGGGGAGATAGTGGTTGCGGTGGAGGAAGTGGTTGCGGAGAAACAAGATGGTGCGACCAAAAGCGACGAGCCAAGCGTATTCACCGCCGTGATAAAGCCCACCGGACACGATCCTTTCTCGCTACAATCCAGCAGTGCATCTATTAGACTCTGGAATTGGTCGTGGTACGTGTATGGTGGTGTTTTGATTCCTATTGCAACTTCTGCTTCATTCCCTCCTTCCCCATCTCCTTGCCCGTTTTCTTTACTCTGTTGTTGCAGAGACATCTCCCTTCCCAACCCACGCAAATACTCCGCCAATTCCCCCCTCGAATACGCAGGCGGCGGTTTTTCAGGGATATTTGGGCACGAGAGATTGATTTCCATAGCAAGTTGCATGCGGACGGTGCGCTGGCAAGTGCGGATTTGGCGGTAGCACTGCACCACCTGGTCCGCGGTGCCCGTCACCGAGATGATGATGGGTTTGTGCGTGGTGCGGCTGTGGAGTGGTACCGAAGTGCAGTGTGTGTTGCTTATTATTTGCACGTAGGATATGTATTCCGAGAGGGGGATGGGTGAGTAGCCGAGGGTGTTGAGACTACCGGTTGTCGAGGCATCGTCTGATAGGTCTGTGTTTGGGGTTGAGCTGGAGAGAGTGTCTGGGGTGAAGAAGGTGAATTGGTGGATGCTGGGGTCATGGGGGAATCCTTTGTTTGTGGAAGAAGGGAGTGAGGTGCGGGTTGTTATGGCGCCAGTGTGGGGGTTGGTGTAGAGGTCTTGCAATTGGGAGAGCGTGGTGCACCAGGGGTTTGCCGAGTTGAGCAGTGGGGGGTCAATGTCTAGAGGGGACATGGCCGGGCCGTGCAAGTGGTCGCTCGCAGACGACATGACCAAGTGTGTACTTGGTTGAACATGCAGGCTGCTGTGACTTGCGGATGGTGAGGGGTTGCTGCTGCATAAGTGGGGTAGAGGTGGTTACGGGAAAGTTTCCCATTTCGCGATTAGGATGCTTGTCTTTTGCATATCTAGATAGCAGGTCATCTAGTCCGTGATAAGTGAACCACATCCAGGCTTTCCTTATCATGCGTTGAAGATATGAGATGATTGGCCAGGAAATTCGTCGCAAGTAAAACACTACACGAAGCCTAGATATTGACTTCGTAAGCTAGCACTGAGAAGCTCTACTTTTCTAACCATAGTATTACAAGATGAAGGATAAAAATTGAAACGCACAACCAGATCCCATATCCGAAACCAACAGACAAAAAAGTTTCCTAGCCCATGCAAATGCTACGCCGGTCGCAGAGCGTTCAATTTCATTAGCTTTGTCTTTCCTTGTTGCGCCATACACCATGCTCAAAACACATAGAATCGAGAATCGAGAACTGAAGCGTAGGTAAAATAGAATGAGATCCGGGTTTCCATCTCTAATTTCCTTTGTCGACATGTCACTTTCGTGACCATGTTTAGAAACTGACATAGCCAGTATCCTCGCCTCCCGTGTCATCCATCCAGCCTGCGCCAACTTCGCCCAGACCAGGTCCGTGGTGATGGTTGCGCGCCATGCCTTCGCCTTCACCTCGCTCAACCCACTCTTCGTTGATGTCGTTCCAGATGCGCTGAAAGTACAATCGCAACGATCGGAGTCCACGGAGATAGCCCCTATCGATGCCATTGGGGTTTTCTGGAGGGCAGGGAAGGTCGTCAGGCAAGGGATCTTCAGCGGTCACGCAATTGGCAAAATCGACAATCTTGAGCTTGATCTCTGAATGCTTTTCCGCTTTCGGAGGAGACGCATTCCCTGGCCCGGAAGATCCAGTAGCAGCTTCCTCGTTTTTCGTTACAGAGTTGCCATTGGATTGTGGGGTTGAACCATCTTTTTCTTTTGAATCGCCATCCCCACGATCATAGAGCATCAGCAAACTGCTTGCGTAGAACCGATACCCGGGCAGGTTTTTGATCATGCGTTCCAACTGGCTAATCTTCTCCAAGATGACGGGGATGTGTCTAGTTGCCGCCTTGTACCCGGTCCCGTCCCAGAAGAAACGCTTCAGTGCGTCCTGGAACTCTTTCCCAGCCTTGAGATCGCGGCCAAAATACTTATCTTCGAAGATGTAGCTCTGCGTCTTCACATTCCAGATCTGCATGCCACAGACTCGCACGCCAAGTTCTCGGCTGGTCGTCATTTGGCACTTGCGCCGTTGAGAGCGTTGCTTCTTCTCGTCTGCTTCGATGCCATACTGGCGCGTCCCCATTTTTAGATCTAAAACACAGGGCCTTGACATGCCTGCTGTGAGATCTTCAAGGAGGAGGAAATGCTGCACACGCTCATCAGATTGCTGTAGGGCACTATCGGGATTGCTTGGCTCTTCGCTAGGTGGAGCAGCAATGTTACTTGACACAACGGGGGCTGCTGGTAACATGGTACCTTCTGGCGGCGCTTCGGAATGTTGTGGTTTGGGAGCTCTGTTGTTGTGTAACGACCGGCCTCTGTCTTCTTGATTGCTGGTTTTTGAGTCTTCGTCCATTTTGAAAACCTCTTCTTCTGCATCGCCACCGTAACCGTCCTCTTCATAGTACTCAAGACCATGACGCTGTTCAGTATCAATTCCAAGGGGTCTCCTGGTCAAGCCGCTACCAGAGTGGCGGCGTCGAGGGAGGATGCCAGGTGGCTGTATTGATGCTTCATCATTGATTCCAGAGCCTAGCATTGAGCTGTGGCTGGGGAAATCAGCGCTTCCGCCCGAAGCATGACGTCGCGCTTCTGCCTTCAAGACCTGTTTCCTGGTACATTCTTCTGGAGGCTGCGAATGCAACATGGCCACATCTGTGCTGTTTCTCCTTATCGTAGGTGCAGAGCCTACCGTGGACTGCGGGGAATCTCCGACGGCGCGTGAAGCCATGACATGGTGACGATGGTGGCGTTGCCGATGATGTATGGTTGGTGGAGCAAAAACCTGTCGCAGAACTTCCTCTTGCAGCTTTCGGTTGATTGTTGTGACGCCCCAGCTGGTGGTATGCTGCAATGGTGGTCGTGAGGAGCTTCTCGGAGGGTACCCGTAGTCGCTCTGATATCGCCGATGCTGCTGTGAAGAAGAATATGAAGAGCTTTTCATCCACGGATCAGGCGTTGTAGAGCGTGGCGGTACTCGAAACAAATTATCCGGGATGATGTGACGATTGTTCTCAAAAATGACCTGAGGGGTAGGCATAATTTGCTGCGAATGACTAACGACTCGAGTTGATTCCGGCTTGTTTGGATCAATAGGGGCTGTAGAGGCCTGCCTCGAAGCATTTTCTGACTGGGTCGTCGATGTATTAATGCCAGCATCTTGTTTGGTCTTGTCCTTATGCTGTTTCTTTTTCTTGGGTGCTTTACGGTAAGTCACGTTCAGGACACCGATGTACCTAGGCAATACTCTATCAGCAAACAATTCTTAATACGAGCAGAAAGGGCGAAAGCAAATCTTGGCTGAAGTTTCAGCTTCGCTCCATAGCGCAGTTGGGATTTCATACCTCGGCAAGAAATCTAGCAGTTCCGGATGCTGCCTCTCGACTGTTTCGTAAAACTCGTTTTCTCGATTGTTTAGCTGCTTGCAGACTGCGCGTCTTGAAAAGCGATAAACAGTCGAGTGGCCGCCTACTTGATGATCGTACGGTTTCAATTCGACAGCACCCAGTGGGGCTGGCGGCTGAGACGGTGCAGCCGAAACAGCCTTGGGTTCTTTTTTGTAGGTTGCTGCAGTGGGCGTCGTGCCTAGATCATCAGTCGCACTGGATTCATAGCCAAGAAGTGATTGAGCCGACTCAGCGAGCGACTCAGGCTCTGATTCACCTGAAAGCGAATCAACAGCCGAGGGCGTCAACGGCTGATCTTTGTCTTTCTTTACAGGAGCTGCCGTGGGGATGTCACCATGTAGGCATTGATTTGTATCTGTGGATTGTAGAGAAATTTCTACCTCTTGTGGGGTTTGCACCTCCTTCTCAGTGGCCCACCCTTTGGGCACTGCACTCTCGTGAATTGAAGCCCTCTTCTCGACAGTATTTACCTCTCCATCTTGATTATTTGCTTCTTTGGCGGCCTGCTCGCTTGGCTTTACACGACGATGGGGGAAGTAGAGCGCCGAGGATATTTGCTCCTTTTCCGATTCTTCCTCCTCCTCCGAACCCGGCGTGCGCTCCCTGCTGCTTCCGTCCTTGGGCTGAAAATAGTCCGAAGACTCATGGTGGTATGGAGTTCCGTTGGTGGGTGCGTGAGCGTGAACCTTCTCAATAGCTGCAGTCGGTAAACTGCGCGACACAGGCGATCGTCTTTCGATGCTAGGAGTGAGGTGACCAAACCCCCGGATATCTTCGAGAAGACGCCTTGGAAGCTGCTGGTTGTTGAAGTCGCCTTGGGCATTCGTTTGAGAAGGAGGTGTTGTTGCAATACCTGTGTCTGTGCGTGGACCTGGCTTTGGTTCGAAATATGATTCGTTCGGACCGCCTGCGGGAGACTGGACTGCTGACGAGGCAAGCGAAGCACGCCGTAGTTGCTCAGTGAGGTTGCTTGTTTCAGTCCCATTGAGCCTTGCTGATCCTTCCTCTGACAGGGTCGACAGGGTCCTCTCATTCGGCAAGCGCTCTTTGGCCTTTTCTTTCTTTTTGGGCTCCTCGGAGGGGTCTCCATCCTTGAAAACACGGAGATAGTGACTTGCTTTGCGACTGCGAGCGGCGGTGGGCTGTTCGGTTTTGGCAAGAGTAGCTTCAATCTTCTTCTCCATTTCCTGGTCCATGACTGGCGTATCGAGAATGACGTTGCCCTTGAACGGCACGGGCTTGCCCTCGCGCCATTCTCTGTTCCTGCGCCTCTCGTCGCTCTCAAGCAGAGTGCCCTGCAATGTGGACTGGAGCTCTGGGCGGTGTGGCGTAACTGGGCGGTGGACGGGGGACTCGACGGGACTCATGTAAGGCGGAGGACTGTGATGGGGAGTCTCGAGGCACATGGCGGTGGCCATGGTTGTGCGGGAATTGAAGGGGGTGTTGAGGAGGGCGTGGTGGTCAATTGAGCTGATGGGCGGGATGGTTGAGTGCTTTCTGCGTATGATGGGAGGGTCTATTAGTCGCCTTTGAGGAGGAGCTGGGGCGGCCATGTCTGACAGGCTGTGCTCGGGAGCATCGTTGGACCAGTCTACTTGACGAGCGGTGGCGCGGGGAGAGGAGATGGGGCTTTCCGAGGCCAGGTAGGTGGTAGCGAAGATGCTGTCGCGCTCATCGAGCTGGGGACGGTCAATTGACGACTTCCAGAGGGAGGAGTCGTGAGCCAGAGGGGCGGTACGCGAGCGGCCCGTCTGGGAGAGGCTCTTCGGGACCAAGGCATGGTCTTGACTGGCGGTGGACCTCACCGAGGCGGGGGGTGAGGCATTTCCTTGGAGGTCCGGCTGGGGTGACATGGGCTCGACATTGATTCGACAGTGTGAAGGGCACCTCGTGGCGGGATGTGTGGCAGATATTGCCGGGCGGGCGCTGGACGGGTTGGCCAGGATGCGGACAGTCGTCGGGCGCGGCGGAGAGGCAGCGGACAGCCAACAGGGGCAGCAAGTCTTGGGGCGACCTAGCGCAAGAGAGCGCACAGCAACGGGCTCTGGTAGCAGGTGGAGGGGCGGCGTTGGGCGATGGCTTGCAGCAGGCGGATCCGGGGCGTGGGCGAGTGAGAGCAGACGACGGTCCACGTTCCAAATGTCGGTGGTTTGGCGTCGGAGTCCAGAGTGGCGCGAAGACGAATCGCAAGCGAGCGGCCCAATGACGTCTGCCTTGGCGCGTCCCCGGCGCGCGTCCACCGCTGCGAGATGAGAGCGTGCATGCGAGAGGGAGATGGGCTTCACCATGCAGAGAGAGGCATTGCCATGTGCAACCGAGCGAGCGCATATCCTCTTTCAAGCCGGCACTGTTATCAATACCATGCTATGCCATGCCATGCCATGCAATGCCATGTACCATTTTTTGTTTTGTTTCGTTTTGTTGTTTTCCTGGCCGCAGCCGGTGTCGCTGCACATGGCCATCTACACGGCATGGGTATCCGTGTTGGCGATAACCACCATGGAGCGCCCGTGCGCCCGTGCGCCCCATTTCTGCCCAGTCCTGCCCGGATCCCATCGGCTGATTGACGGCAAACATCACAACATCAACAACAACAACACACACACATACACACATACACATGCTTTCACCATAGGCCCACGCTCCTCGCTCCTCTGGCGCGGTCCCCGCTGGCAAACTGCATCCTCGTATCTCTGCTCGACTATCTTCTCCATCTCGTCATCTGCTATCTGCACAACACCACCACCGTCCCTTCCCTTGCAGCAACTATGCATGGTCCCCTTCCCGCTCCCCTTTCGCAACCAATCACTCCGGAACGTGGCCTCTCACCGCCTGCTTCATCTTGCCCTGCCTGCCTGCCTGCCTGCCTGCCTCCGTACTCTACCATTGCAATTACGTTGCCCGTCGCCCGTCCTCTATGCCTCTTACAAATGGCGCTGCATAGTGCCGGCCAAAGTCGTCGACTGACGCATCAAGGTGCAAGCCCGGAAACTCTCTCTCCCTCGCCGAACACCTCGATCGCTCCCCCACAGACCTTTGCGACCCCTGTGAAGCCTTCTCTGACACGAAACTCCAGAATGATGTCGTCGTGTTCTTGTCCTTGAGGGGGATCCGCCCCGCCGATGGGGTGGGGCTGTTGTTCGTCACGTCGCCTTGCTTTAGTGCTCCAACGTCACTTCGTCCCATTGAAAACCTTGAGTTGCTTCGCTGGCTTTCCTCCGTCTTCTTCTTCTTCGCCGTGCTAAATGTAAAGGGCGACGCTGCCCCAAAGAGATCCTGTGTGCTGATCGGCGGTCCACGAAACATACTTTCATTTGCCATTGCCGAGTTTCGCTCGACGGTCATGGCTATACGTGGTGTTGTCGCTGCGCTTGGTGCATCCAATATCCGATGACGTGTATCTAGCGATACTGGTGACTCTGCTCGAATGGTGACAGGCGACAATGTGGGGAACGTGCTTTGCTGGAACTCGAGTTGAGCTCGTACCATGGCAGCTTGTGTGCACCATTCCGAGCCTTGGCCTGAATGGCTTTCCTGAAGTGGTTCGGCCTGGTCTGGTGAATCTTTGGTCTTAGCTGTTTTTGGAGCCACTGCACTCTCTCCCTTCTCCTCCTCCTCCTCCTCCTCCTCTTCTTCCTGCTCTTCTTCTTTCTGTTTTTTCTCTGCGTCTGGAGCATTTTCGACAGCCCATGCCTCTTCGTGACATTTCTTTGCAATGGGTGAACCTTTCTCTGGTGAAGAATCAAAGTTGACAGCTCTTGGCTTTGGTCTGTTGGGTCTGTTGCCAACGTCTGCCTGCGCTCTCTTCTGATGTGCAGAAGCAGGTGATGGAACAGAGACGGGAGAGGCAACGTCATCCTGTTGTGTGAATTTGGGAGTTTTGCGTGATATGCTCCGCTTTGATTGCTGTGATGATATCGTCAAGATACCAGTGTTAGACATGGAGTCAACGAGTTGCTCCGCGGAGCGTTGTATATCTTCTCTTGAAACTGTGACTTGGCTGCCCATTGACGATGTGACTATTGGGATGGTTCGCTGCGAGCGCTGCGCCTGTTCGGTGCTGTATGGCGTGCAGGCAGTCTGCATCGTGTAATCCCTCCCACTCCTTGTGTCATAACAATATACAACGGGTGATGAAATGTCCATAGAAGCCGAAGCACTCGACTTCCAGTTCGCGGATAACGTCTCTTTTGGCGGCGACCTTGACACGCGCACTGTCTCTTTTGGAAAACTGATGCGCAGCTCTGCCACTGCTTCAGTCTGTGAGAGCGTATGCCGCGTCCGAGACCGCATTGGTGATGAATCGCATCGTTTGCTTGTGGCTTTGCGCATATCGACACGAGGTGAGTCAGGGCGGCGCAACCAGAAAGGATTCGTCGAGGGAGTTTGGCGGCGTATGCATGTTCCAGCATCTACGCTAAAAGAGTCTGTAGTAGTGGTGGCGCCAATATCGTCTTCATCTGCTAATGGAGCAGTCGAGGGTGCAACCTGGACCTGGTCAAGGCTATCGTCGGGCTCCTGGGCACTTAGGTGGATGTCTCTGGTAGCCCTCGAGGTTTCCGGTGAAGCTATCGAGGCTATCGTGGGCGCCGGACTTTGCGCTACAGCCTGTGGCCTGCTGCTTTGTTTCCGTCTCGTGTTGCTCGCCTGTGCTGTCTTGCGCTTCTCTTTTGTCGGTTTCGTCCATGGGTTCTTCCAGTTGTCGGGGTCGAATGGTCCTCTTAGCCCCGCGGTGAGGATGACAGGCGGCCGGCCTCGTAGGTATTGGGCGGCAATTGCCTCGACCCGTCGTCGCTTCGCGGCTCGTTGCTCGGGGTCATGGTGCTCGAGGGGCAATTCTTCGATGGTATCCTGAGGGGGGAGGTAGAAGTCGTCGGTGGCCAGCGCCTGTCTCAGATGGGGGTGCAGGCTGGGGGGCATGATGGAGGAATATAGGCTGGCAGCGGTGGAGGAGTAGGTGGGGCTAAGCAAAAGGGCATGTCTCGGGCTGGGCAGGATGAGCGTTGCAACGGTGTGGCGGCTGCTGCTCGTTTAAGCTCGTCTATGCCCGTTCATCATCTGTTCTTGGTCGTCCATGCTTTGGCAGCGTCTACGTCGGGAGCGGGAGCATCTCCTGTTGCTCAGGCAACGGCCTTGTTAGCGGCTTGCGGGGGGTCTGACAAGTCCATGCTTCTCTCTAGATAGCGTCGATCCTGGCACATACATTCAATCGATAACAAGACGACTCGCCGATTGACGCGTTGTTCGTCATTCTTCCTCGCACCGTTGCGACAATCCACGACACGCGCACAATGCCGTGCGCGCCAACATAGCAGCCTTTTTTTTGACGCGTAGCCGCCCGCCAACAGCTTTCTTCACCGCATCTTCGGCGCGCGCTGCCCGACTGCGACTCGACACCCCGGCCACCACCACCACCATCTCCATTACCACTCGTCACAACACTACGGCCAACCGCCCGCCCGCTCGCCCACCACCATGGCCAACAACACCACGCAGCCCTGGCTCGAGGACCTCTCCGAAGAATGGGTGCCCCAAGAGTCGCTGCGCTCAGTTGCGCCCACCCCACAGAGCCCACGCAGCCCGCCACTACCACCAAATCCACAGAGCGCACCAAAATCAAAGAGCCGCCTGCCCCGTCTGCGACAGTCGCCAGCCCCCTTTTCGGACGTGCAGGTGCGCAGCATTGCCAAAGAACTGCGTCCGCCCAAGCAAAGGAGCATGCTCGATGGCCGCAGTCCGAGCAACACCAATGCCCCGCCCGCCCCGTCATCGCCCGACGCGCACGCGGGCGACGCCTCATTTTCCTCTTTTTCAATGTCTCAGAACTCGGAAATGCAAAACGGCACAGTCGCACACAACACCATCGCGCGATCACCAGTCAAGGAACAGTCATCCCAAGATACACCGGAGTGGAGGCGGAGACTTGTCAATGGTGAGGTCGGCTACGGAAACCAGACCGACCTCTTCGGCCCCACTGGCCTGGAAAACATCTTTCAAAAGCCAACCCCTGGCGCTTCTGACGACTCGGTACTCCCAAAAAGGCGGCTTGGATTGCTCAAGGGTCTTGCTGCCGTACCCTCGAGTCCACCACCATGGCCGGCTGTGCAACAGAGCGATGGACTGCAGGAACAAGTACAAAAACAGGGACAAAAACAAGTGCGGGAAGCAGAAAAGGATCGCCAGACGCCTGCAACTCACGCAGACGAATGTGCACGCGATGACACAACCCAAGAGCACGATGCATCGAGTTGCACCCAAGGATTGGCGCCGCCGCACGAGACCATGCGGACTGTAAGCGGACAGATTGAATTCGAGAACGAGAACTTCAGCCCTGTATATCTGACCATGACCGCCAACATGAATATCGGCTTGCCCGTTCAACAACCACAGAGCTTTAGGGGATCCGAGCTTGCCAACCGGTTGCGTCAGATCGGATCGCCCCCCTCAAACCACTACCAAACCCTTCAGGAGGAGAGTGCACTGAGCCTAACACGCGGAGATTCATCTTTTGCTAGGCTCCAGGACGAGTCTCTGCCAGAGGGCCTTCCCGTTGGCACACCAGACATGGCAGACGTTGGCCGCCACGTAGAGCTTCGAAGAGGTGGGTACTCGAGAGAGGGATCTTTCCACCGAAGACCACTGAGTCCATCACCAGAAAGAAAAGCCGCAGCCAAACTGAACACAGACCTAAAGCAAACGCCCCAAAGCGGACTTGTCGACCCTTCCACGCCTCACCAACGACTTGAAAATTTCCTGAGTCCTGATCGAGCCAAGAACTCTGGGAGCCCCCTGAAGTTATTCGATGCACATGACACTTTTACTAGCAATCGCATCCAAAGACGCCTCAGTCAGCTCGAGTACAAACCTGAAAAAGGCACATCCAGTGTCAAGGAGAACCCATCCGATTCTGCCAAGCTGGTGCCAAGGCAATCAAGATTGACATCTGTCGAAGAAAAATCTATGCAGAACATTAACCAGGATTTGACTTCGAACAATCGCCAACCATCAAACAAAAGAATCACATCTTTTGGCCAAAGTCAGCTCAATAGGTATCAGTTTTCTGGTGACTTCTCTGTTATCTCATCAGATGGAGATGATTGGAGTGCTCACGATGATAGCGCACCCGAAGAATCTCCCTCAATCGACATTGCACCCCCTGGAAGCCGGCCGCCATTCAAGTTTCATCTGGATGAATCGCCCGTCCCACGTCAACCCTCGAGGAGTAAAAGAAACGTATCGAATTATTCCCCAACTTCCATGCAGAATGCCAACCGGCCGAAATTCGTGCCACATCGAAAAGCCTCGACGGCGAAGGCCGAAGAGGACTCGGAAATCGCCCATGAATATGCTGAAGGCAAAAGAGGCCCAACATCGCCATTCAAGAACCCCACTCCTAAACGTAGAAGGACTATCTGTTCGGTTGATGACGAAGAAAACAACGACGATGTTTTTAGCGATGGAGAAGGAAGCACAGTGCGACGTCCGAAGGCATCAGCTCAGCCTACTCTCGACCAGAACCAGAGAGATCTCCTTAGCGTGTTCTCAAACAAGAACGCCAACTCGGAAACGCTAGCCAAGAGACATATCTTAAGGCCCCGCAACCCTACCCCGAGTCAGCGGAGACGAGAGGAGATTCAGGCAGAAATCATGGAAGCTACGGAAGCCTTCATCATGTCCTCACCAAAGCTCAACACCATCCGCGAACAGCTGGAGCCTTCCAATGTGTCCGACGCTGATTTGGACAATGCTCGTGCAAAGGCGGTCGCCAATGAGATTGCTGCTTTTAGTATGAAGAGACAACATGGCGTGCGAGACAAGAACCGCAAGCGATCCGTCACTACACAAGACTTCCTGGACGAGGCCCTAAAGATCATGGACTTTATCCGCACAAAGGGACGACCTACCAGCGGTTTGGGGAGCCTCGAGGAGACGGAAGCTGAATCCCAGTTGGTTGAGGATGACAACGAAGATGCTTCGAGTTTGCCGACAGTTAAAAGGCCTGCGAGCAGAGAGGACCAGTCACCTGCCTGGAAGGAACCGAACAAACATGACATGGATCCGAGCATTCTCAATCATTTGCGCAGGTATCAAGAGAAGGATGACGATAGCTTTCTGAATTCATCGGTGAACTCAATAGGCTTTTCTCGTCTGGACGGGCTAGCCGCGCCTGTAGAAGAAAGCACAATGGGCGAGCAGGACAAGGTTAGGATGACAGAGAATGCAAACAGACACTACGACAGGGGCGATGACGATCACCATCCCAGCTCCCGACCTCAGACTGCACGCACTCAGTTATCAACAGGCTCATCGATTGGACACACTGTCCTCACAAATGCATCTAGGCGTTCGGAGCACGTCGCTAATCTAGCACCCGAGGCGATAGCGCATCTTATTCCCCAGGAGGTAGCTGGCATGAGTTTTGACCGCGACAAAAACATGTGGATTCGCCAGAAGAGTCCAACTAGGGAGCGTCGTGTTGAGCAGGCAACACCAAGCCCCTTGAATGAGAGCGAAGACGATCCATTCGGCAACATCCCAGATCTGACGGTGGAGGACACACATGCGCAGAACGCTAGAGCCGACTCACCGATTCGTCTACAGCCTACAGCGGAAACCCTTGTGGAGGATACGGAGAAGCCCACAGAAGAAGAAGAAGAAGCACGCCCGACGACGCGCGAAGGAAACGGCGTTGCATATACGGAAACGAGCTCAGCGCCTTCGAAGGGTTCCAACTTTGGATCAAGCTATCCTAAAACTGAGACACGGGCAACGTCTTGGAGTACACAAACCGCACGACACCACGGCACCCAGAAGAGCTCCCGCACGCAAACTACTTATGCGATTCCAGAGTCTGAAGAAGACGATATCGAACATGAGATCAAGTATTTCGAGGGGCGAGATCCCGTACGCCAGGGTGCACAACGCCCACGAGTAAGGGACATCACCATCTCGATTGCCGAACGGGAGGCGCCTAGTCCAGAGCGTCGATCAGAAGAGACACCGCAAAAACCCCGGCAAAACCAGTGGGGACCATCAAGTGCCCAGAAAAGGTCGGAAAGAAAACAGTCAGCCTGGGAGCAGTCCAATCAAAACAAGGCTCTGTCCCATGGGAGACCTGGTCGATTACCAATGTTCAACGGTGACGGTGATCTCTCACTATTGGACGATGGCCGAGCTAGAAACTATCGCATGCACTTATCGATGAACATGGCAGGGCCTCCATTCAGAGACCACGGACGGGATGCATTGGTTGCCGCAGGGTCATCACCTATCAAGGGGGATGTGACATTTATGCTCAGCGATTTACCTGAGTTCACTCTGAATCAAGTTGATGAATTTGACCTCCCAGACCGGGTGGTCGTGAAGCATGACGGTAGCCGGTTCACCAAAGCTTTGGAAGATCGGTATGCACAAGGAACAGCCGAACTTGTACAGGCCCTTCAAGACGTTGAGCCAGATGAACCGTACTGGGAGGACCTTCGCAATGTCAATCTCCGGAAGAAGGACCTTACCAACTTGCATCGCCTTGACGAACTGTGCTACCAGCTTGAGGAGCTCGATGTCTCAAACAACAAGATCAGTCAAGTGGAGGGCATACCTTACTCTATGCGACGGTTGCAAGTACAGAACAACTGCTTGACTGGACTGACCTCCTGGACCAATCTCGTCAATTTGCAACATCTCGACATGTCCGACAATGAAGTCGATGCGCTAGACGGACTTGCTGGGTTGGTGCATCTGCGAACACTCAAAGTTGACAACAACAAGATCAAGTCTCTCAATGGCATTATTCATCTCGACGGCCTAATGGAACTGAGTGCTGGCGGTAATGAGATAGACACGATTGACTTCGCCAAGACAAATTTGTGAGTACATCAGCACTTATACGTCAAACACCATATCCTAACCAGTACACTAGGAAATCTCTTACAGACCTTGATCTGCGCAAGAATCGAATGCTCGAAGTCCGCAATCTGCATTGTCTACCACAGCTTCAGCATCTCAACCTAGGTATGCATATATTCTGGTCCATGCACCCTTTCACAGGCTAATATCCAATAGATGACAATGAGATTGAAGAGTTTCCTCTTGTCGACACACCAGTGAAGCCATGCAAAGCACTTCGCTCAATCCGTCTTTGCAGAAACAGAACTACGCTTCTCGATGTTGACCACTATTTCCCAAGGCTTGAGTCGCTATACATTGACGGCAACTCTTTAACACAGGTCTTGGGATTGGAACACCTTCGAAACCTCCGGACTTTCTCAGCTCGTGAACAAATACTCGACTCAGAAGCAGACATGGAGATATGTGCCAATAATCTCGTCAAGAATTCGGAAGTTCGCAATCTCTATCTCTCACTCAATCCTACATATGGCTTGCAGATCTCACAGCACTTGTTGAGCCTTCAACGATTGGAACTGGCCTCTATGGGCCTCAAACAACTACCCGACAACTTTGGTCAACTCACACCAAACATCAGGTCCATCAACCTAAACTTTAACTCCATTACGGACCTACGTCCACTCCTCAACATCAAACGGCTGAGTGAGCTTTTCTTGGCGAGCAACAAGCTCGAACGCCTTCGTGCAAATGCGCTGGTGCTGGGCAAGCTAAGCACACTTTCGAAACTAGACTGGCGAGACAACCCTCTTACTCTGCGCTTCTATGCGCCATCATCCGAAAATCGGATCATGTCCCTTCGACGGAAACCCTCCGAGGAACAGCTCAAGAACCGCTTCCTTCTTCCGAATGGAGAAGTAGAGGCTGATGTTCAACATCTTTTGCGACTCGATTATGAGACGCGGATCAGGCGGCGCGTCACGGAGATGATGCTTGCTAATCTCTGCAAAAACCTGAAAGAGCTGGACGGCCTACCATTCGACAAGGCACGTGTGCTCGTCAAGGATGACGTGTGGGAACGTCTGTTGTTTCTTGGCGTCATACAGCGCAAACGCGCAGACACAGCTGTCGACGACAGCGAATGATAGACTGGCGACTTGGGAATAAGGACAAAGGAATGTTCCAGACGACCGGCGCGTCACATTCCTAACAATGCTTCTTCTTAGCTTGGAGTTTTGCGTGGGATTGCTCTTCTTATGCATTGCAAGTCAGATTAGGTTTCAGTGGGTTTTGCATAGCATCTGGTACTTAAGCATCTTGTAGGCGTAGTATTCATTGGCGCCTTCTTAAACGCGAGCTTTATCTGCTCGACTGGGAACAGGCCTTTTAATGAGTTCACGAATTGTATTAGTAATAATCAGACTCGGTGTGTTGTTGCAGTTGCAATTTTATCAATCTATCTCGAAAGTTCGTCTTCGAGACTGCAAGTGTAAGGCCGACGTGTGATCAGCCGCCCCGCGTTCCACTAAAACAGCTGCACTGAGGCCCGTGCATCGAATCGCCCTAGAACCCGTGACACGCAATCATAAACTCAAATGTTCGCCCTATTGAGATGATCATCCTCTACCACACATTCGACAATGGCCAGCCCATCTGACGAGGAGAGAATTGTGCAGCTGGCGGAAAAGGCTCACGAGAGCATCAAAGCTGGCGAGTTGGCTGTAGCAGCTCGATATCTACGTGAAGCTGGCACTATTGCACCTGAAGACAACCGGATCAAAGAAGCATGGATTGCGTTGAAGGAGGAAGAAAGCAAGAGCGAGTTCTTGGGGGTCTGCAGGGAGTGGGTAAAGAGCAAGGATGCACGTGATGGAGAAAGAGCACTGAAGGCCATGAGATCGCATGGTTTGAAGGAAGAAGATGCGGCGCAGGCAATGGACATTCTCTTCGACTATAAGGGTGAAGACGACACCCTCGATCAAGTATCAGGTGAACTTTTACAAAATGTTGGGGCTCAGAAGTGGCTTGTCAATATGGTTCGAGAAAAGCCGACGCGGATGTACTACGAGATGTTCGAACGGGGCAACGACTCAATCGATGGCTTGCTAAAAGTCTTGCTGAACCGAGCCGTCTGGCCCGATGATGAATCTTTCAAAACGGGTCACAGAGATATCTTCATGCTCAGTTTGGCAATGATGATGGAGGAGGCCCTTGAGCACCCGGAACGCGCCATGAAGGGCATCGCACAACTGCTCGCTCATTACGCAGAGCACCTCAAGGGAATCATTGACGCGGACAGCTTCGATGTTATATTAGCATCGCTTGATATCCGACTACCAGCAACGCTACGCAGCCAGGCTACACTTGCGAGTATCAAGTTATTTGAGCTTGCCCCAGACACTGCTGGAGAACTCATCTCGAGATTCGTCACCGCCAGGATAAAGAAGGGAGAGGCACATGATCTAGTCATTGCCTTCTCTGCGGCTGCAGCCATCTTCCCGGTCGCTGTTACAGCCGCTGCAGCCCTTTTCCTAACAGATGGCTTTGTCAGCACACTCGCATCGAGAGTACAGAGCAAGAAGTCGCATAACCTGGAGCAAGCGACCCTGGAACTGATCAGCGCTGCATGCGTAGACAAGAACTGCCGAGAGGCAATCAACAAGCACTGCAGGGAGTGGCTAGAAGACATGGTTGCTGAGTGCCTGAACAAGAGGCGGGCTAACCTGGCTGCACTCATTCTTGTGAAACTGGGCGAGGAGCAGCCATCCGAGGAAGGTCCGCGGATTGTCAGAGCAGAGAAAGTGGATCAAGAGGACCTGATCGCAAGCTTCAAGTCAATGGTCATAGGAGGCGACACGGCGTCCAAGCAAGACTCAGTTGAGGGCCTCGCATATGCCTCGCTTCAGCCCAAGGTCAGGGAAGATTTATCCAAGTCTCCAAAGTTTCTCAAACGCCTTATTGAGGCCATGAGCGATCCTTCGTCACCAAAGAATATCATTTTCGGCGGCCTTACGATCTTCAACAATATTACACAATACCAGCCTTTACAGTCCGAAGAAGAAAAACGCATGGCACAGATCAAGGCCTACGCAAACGTGCAGAAGCCAACCGCCCCCCATGTTCTTCTCGACGACGAAGACGTAGCCATACGCTGCAAGCGCGTTCTCGATGCAGGCGTTGTACCACTTCTAGTACAAGTCTGCAAAAACGGATCCGCCTCCATCCTCACACAAAGTAGTCTTGTCCTCCTCAGCCTATGCAAAGACACCAAGAACCGAGGCCCAATGGCCCAGCAAGGCGCTGTCAAGCTTCTCATCCAAATCTGGGAGCACATCACCGCCACAAATGAGTCCTCCACAACCGGCACTACACCCTTCCCACCCGCCGCCCTCCCCACAACAGCACAAGCCCTATCCCGCTTGCTCATCAGCATAAACCCCTCCCACGTCTTCAATGCCGCGCTCCCCAGCACCTCCGCCATCCGCCCGCTGATAAGCCAACTCACCCGCACAGATTCGACAACCTGGCAACTCCACGCCTTCGAAGCCCTCCTCGCCCTCACGAACCTCGCTTCCCTCGACAGAAGCACCCAAGACCATATCATCCGCCAGTCCTTCGACACCGTCGTCGACGATCTGCTACTCAGTCCGAATACGCTTGTCCGCCGCGCAAGCACGGAACTCGTGTGCAATCTCATGGCCTCCCCCGTTTGCATCAGCAACTTCGCAGACGCCTCGCCGCGCGCTAAACATCGCTTGCATCTCTTACTCGCCATGACGGATGTCGAGGATGCGGCTACGCGGTCTGCGGCTGGTGGCGCACTGGCAATGCTACTCTCGGTTGACCTTGCTGTCGAGGAGTTCTTGAAGCAGGAGAAGAGTGTGGAGTGGTTGGTAGGCTTGTGCCAGGATGAGGACGAGGGAATTAGGTATCGGGGTGTTGTTTGTCTTCGGAGTGTGGTGGATGTGGAGCAGGGGAAGGAAAAGTGTAAGGGTAAGGGCGTTGTTGAGGCGCTCAAGGTTGTGCTGAAGGAGAGTCGGAGTCAGGAGGTTTTGAGTGTGGGGGTTGAGACGTTGAAGATTTTGCTGGGGCAGTGATGGGGAGGAGAAGTTGATTTCACGTCGGTTCGGTGGGATCAGTGAGTAGATTGGAACGGGAAACTTTGATCTGTTCTTAGGTAGACTTTAGATTGAGATGAGTTATGATTCATGCTTTGTTCTCATTTGTTCTCAATAGGGATGAATCGTGTTGTTCTCCCAATCTTCTCCCTACAGAAGCCATAGTCGCCTGATCTTCACCGTGCAACAGCTTCTGTTTTGAGATGATACGGATATCAGGCCCGAGATTCTTTTTGAATGCCCAAAGCCTGATTGGTCTTTAAAACATCTAAAGGCAGAAGTGGGGAGCAGACACTGATAAGCGGCGGGCTTATCTTCGGAACGGTTCCGACATCAACCCCTCACGACTGATATGCATAATTGCGTCGAGTCAAGGTAGTGACTGTAGTATGTCTGAAGATATGCCGGGTGCTAATAAATTGCTTGTAATGTTTATGGGGTGGCTTCACTCCCCTGCCCGATTGAAAATTTTGTACGATTGCATTGCAAAATGAACCACTTGCCAGATTTACTACCGCATGTTAGGGCCATTGCTTCAGACCATGTAGTCTCCATTTCTGTTGTTGCGGTCACATTGTTCGTTGTGTACAAAGTCAGTATCTCCAGAGCGTGTGAAGGCAGTTATAGCTGATACCATTAGCTACTTACTCACACCGATATACCCTATATCCAAGGCATACCTGAGATTCCCGGCGCTTTCCCCGTCACAGGTCACTTGACACAATTGGGGGACGACCATGCAACTGTGTGCGAGAAATGGTGGCGCCAATATGGCTTCTCAGTATTCCAGATCCGGCTCGGGAATACGCGCGCTGTGGTGGTCAATTCCTTTGAGGACTGCAAGAAGATCCTTGTGTCAAACCCGCAGGGCCTGATCGATCGACCGAAGCTATATACTTTCCATGGTCTCATATCCTCGACTCAGGGCTTCACGATTGGCAGTTCCCCATGGGATGAAAGTTGTCGCAACAAGCGTAAAGCGGCGTCAACGACGCTCAGCAAAAGCATGATGAAAAATTACGCTAATATGTTTGACCTCGAGTCCTACTATATCGTACGAGATCTGCAGAGGGATAGTAAAAGCGGAGAGGTGGAAGTTAGCATCCGACCATACATCCAGCGCTACGCACTAAACACGACACTCACGCTCTGCTATGGCATCCGAATGGACGCCGTCTATGACGATTTGCTGCGTGAGATACTCGAAGTCGGCTCTGCAATTTCACTGCTGCGATCGGCATCAGAGAACTATCAAGACTACGTCCCTGCTCTGCGTTATTTGCCGAATAACGAGAAGAATAGGCGTTCGAAAGAGCTGAGGGAGAGACGCGACAAGTATCTCAACTTGCTACTGGATAAAGTGCGAGACATGATCGAGAAGGGAACTGAGAAGCCGTGCATCAGTGCCGCTATCCTGAAAGACGAGGAAACACGACTCACAGGCGTCGAAGTCAGCTCTATATGTCTGTCTCTTGTATCCGGTGGGTTTGAAACTATACCGGGTACACTTGTATCTTGCATTGGATCCCTGTGCACACGCGAGGGCCAGGTCTTCCAAGACCGTGCGTACCAGGAAATCCGGAAGATGTATCCGCAAGACGAGGACTTGAAAAAGGCGTGGGTGAGTGACTTTGAGGAGGAGAGTATTCTGTATTTGAGTGCGATAGTGAAGGAGGCGGGGAGGTACTACACGGTCAGCAACATGAGTCTGCCACGGAAAAGTATGAGTGAAGTGCGTTGGGGCGAGGCAGTGATACCAAAAGGTACAATGGTGTTGATCAATGCTCAGGCTGGGAATCATGGTGAGTAACCAACCATCTGCACTTGAGCTCTGTAAGATCTAACTGTGTTAGACACTGATTACTGGGGCCCTGACGCTGCAACTTTCAATCCCGAGCGATGGCTTACACCACCCGTTGACTCGTCGTCCCTTTACACGGAAAATCCTGTTTCCAATCCAGCACACCTATCGTTCGGGGCGGGCTCTCGGTCTTGCCCTGGGGCTCTCATAGCTAGCAAGCTCATTTACGCTGCACTCTTCCGTTTGCTCAGTCTGTACAGGATCGAAGCTAGTGCAACGCATCCCCCGAATACGGATTATGTGGACTACAACGCGATCAAAAGCGCGTTGGTGGCAATACCCCGCGACTTTTCAGTGAAACTGAGTCCGAGGTGCGGGGCGGGTGTGGTGGAGACAGTGCTGAAGGAGGGTGAAAGAAGGACTGAGGGATTTTACAAGGTGTGAGTGAAAGTGATAGTTAAAATTAGTCAGATTACCAACGGTGAAAGATTTCCATGACGGTACATGAAGACCCGGTCGCACCTGCTCAAACTTCTTTGACCCACACAAGCAGTCGCAGCCACGCTTTCTCACCCAGCTTGACGATCGCAGTCAAGTTCCCACTCGTCAACCGCAAACATGAAACTTCGAATGATTTTCAGCTGCACTATCTTGCTCATCGTAACTGCCTTTGGTCAGTTCATCAACAATGAGCAGGTGATGTCTGTCTCCGATTCCGGCCTCGAAGGCAAACTTCTCGACAGCTCAATTGTACAGGATGGGCCGCCCGTCGAATCGTCTGCCGCTGGGCCTGAGCCTTTCAATCCTGCTTTGGGCGCGGACTTTGATCCCGACGTATTTGCCAGCAACCAGTTGTGGGAAGGATATATCAGCAAGGGTAGTTACCTGTTCTGTCTCATGATTGCTTCAGGCGAAACTGCTGGAAGGCTCATGGGAACTCCCCGAACTCCGCCTTCAGCTTCTAGCCCATGGGTGATGGACGACATAATCCGTGAGTTCATTTCCCTTTCAACCACGGAAAAATGAACTTGAGAAACTAACGCTTTTGATATTATAGCCATGTTGGAGTTATGAGGCTGGTATAACACCCCAACCGCCCAAGGCAGGGCGTGCGACTTCAGGTCGGTAGGATTACAATATGCTCTTTAAGGACTAGGTCTCAACTATTGGCCGAAGTTTAACGACAGATTTCAACCTGCAAACGGAGAGAATGTGTGCTTATCTATTCTACATTGGGACTGCCACAGGGCCCTGCCTGAGTATCCGTATGAGCGACCGTGGCCTATCAGGGGGCAGATGTACAGAACCATACGAGCAGTGTACGCGGTAAGTATGTTTGTGTCCGCGGTGCTTATGCTAAATGATACAAAGAGCCACTGTCATGGGGCAGTCGCAAATGGTCGTTCAGAACACTAGCGAACATATGATAACAGCGAACAGGCGGAACCTATAAATTCGCTGTTAATGTAAGGGATGGCGTAACCATCGCACGACAAACTCTAAGTCCACGTACTGCCGTGCGACACCCATTTAGTTGGGGTCGCGAAGTGCGGCCTGACGAACTCCCTGAGCTGCAACATGTTACGGACATTCACTGGGGATTCTGGATAAAGAATAATCCCAACATCAAAAACTTTCGTGGCTATGGCGTCGAGAACGTTGTAAACGACCATACTGTTCTCCTCGTGACTCGCGCGCTGCGAAACAGACGCAAATTTGCTTTGGAGATTTGGCCGGGCGTCATGTTTGAGAAGGGTAGCGAAGAGTACATGGCATTGATCGGTATGTATTGCATTTCTTACTTGAGTACTGATCTTCAGTATAGTCGCGAAGCGTTGCTTACTGAGTTACTCTAGGCTCTCCTATTGGCGATACTATTGCCAACTTTCTCATCACCCACAAACCTTGGCTCGGCCTAAAACATGTTACGCACGTCATAGTTGTTTGTGACGGAAATGATCAGGACACTTGCGCAAGAGGTATGAATAAGATGCACTTATTCTTCACCGTCGAGGATGCGCATTTCGAGAATGAAGAAGGCATCGAAGGGAACGAAGGGAACAGAGAGACGGGCCGGATTGAAAGCCATGTCTTCCATGTAAGGGATGACGGGAAGCAAGTTGTCCGGGAGCACAAGGTCACGGCGAATCTCTGGGATGAGGTGAACGCGTGGGGTTCCAGGGTGTGATGGATGTGTGATTTTGAGATATAGCGAACACCTTCGGACTCCAGCGGGACTGCTACTCATTGCATTACCGACCGCCGTTTCTCGGCGATATGGTGTGATCAATATATCTATGTTGCTTCAATCTCCTGTACGCGCGCCATAATTCTAGTCTTCCACTTTGCGTAATCGTCCTGCTGTCGCTCACCAAGGTAGTCATTTGCATCTTGCATCATAGTACCTAGGCCAATATAATCACTTCCAGATCGTAGGCCTAGGCCCTTTGCTTTGGCAGTTGTGTTGCCGGTCATTTCGACACCTTCCATCTCATCTTCATTGTCCAGAGGTTTTACACTATCGAACCACTGCATCTGTAGCCAGCCTTCCTCCTTGGCCATGGCCATTGTCTGCTCTATTGCGGGTGCCAGCTCATCTTGTGTGATGTTCTGTGCAGATGGGGTTTCCAAGACGGTATCCGTTGCCTTGGCTAGCCATTCGTTGTATTTATCTGGCGAGACATCGACATCCTTCATTCTCGAGAAAACGAGCAGGAATACAACTACTACAAGACTACAAAGCCGTGTATCACTAACATCAGCAAAAGAATGTGTAGTAGATGTTGGTCGTCGTGGCCGCTTGCTGGGTGTCTCAGCGGCTGCGGCAGCCATGCGGGCGAGTAGAGGGTAAATGGATTCTACACCAGTGTACACATGAGGTATCACTGCTGGATATTCGAACGCCTTTGCGAGAGCCCGGATAGCGGGCATGACCCACTCAGGGGGCTCACCATCGCTTTCACGGCCTCGCTTCGTGCTGTGCGGTGTCTTCCTTGCGCTCAGGGGCGTTTTTGGCGTGTTACGTGTGGGTGTGGGGGCTGGAGCAGACGATTTACGCGGTGTTTGCGGCTCGGCGGCGGCAAAAGAGTCTGGAAGAGCACTACTTAGGTAGTTATACAACTTCTTATATATACGAGGGGGGCAGGGCGGTCGTGATGTGATTGAAGGAAGATTGAGGCGCTTCTTAAGCCTGTGGCTGTTAGTATTGAGCTCCATGTAAAGGCCAAGGCCAGAATACCTTTCGCAAGCCAATTGCGCACATGCGTATGGTCGTGCGATTTCTTCATCAGACTTCATAGACGTTGCGACTGTTCGGGAGCGTGTGAGAAGTGACAACGCCAAATCGATCAACTCTGGGGGCAGAGGGCCGTTCAATGTAGGGACTAAGCCCGTGAGGGCCTGCTCGATACTCGCTCGGCTCATAGTGTAATATGTTGAGAATATTCGTCTTTCGCAAAGAACAATGCTATCATGCGAATGCAGACGCGTTACATCCACTTGCGCGGTGTCACGTGGACGCTAGACTGCTCTGAGTTCATCAGGGACACTTCGTTTGTTCCTTGTTTGCACTGCTCTTGCACAACCTCGTCCGATTCTTCAAATTGTTGGTCTTGAGCTATATATATTGCTCTTTCTTTGTTCGTCAGTCTTCAGATATCTCAGCTGAGATGGCTCAGTCGGTGTTTGGTCACTTTTCGATTTCATCACGCAAACGTCCAAGGTTGTCCCTCACACGGAGCATTGATGAAGCTATATTTTCCAACAATTCCGCGGACATAGTATAGTCAACCAGTATGTAGGAATATATGCCTATGTGCTATTATTATCTTGGAGCACTATCACATCTTTTTTGTTGGCTTTCCCAGCATGCTCTCAGCTTACACACACTTGACCTATTCCCAACGCCCATGACCGTATCGCTCGAGCACTGCATTACTTGTATTATCACACCATCATCTGTTCCCAAATTCAGGAGTTTCTGGATCTTCCAAGTATTTTCGTATGACCCTCATCTCGGTATCCAGTACCACTTCTTTGCACGTTACGTACTCTCAGCGTCCTTGTCCCACTGTTACAGTAGCACCTCGAAGTTTTCACCGCTATCCCCAGCCAATAGGTGTTTGCACCCCTCAGGATTCGAAGTAGCAAGCCGCGCCAAGGATACCGAAACTACGACATGGACATAGGGTTCACGCCATGTCGCTATGACTAACGTCTCATGTTCAGGCCATGGTGGTACTGGGGAGGCGCGGTTCAACGGTCATGCCGAACTTACCTCGGCACACGTCAATTCGGCTTGACCGACATATTTGCATACATGGCTTCTGATTGCAGCTGCTGTGCTTGATAGGACGCCGCGGTAGGTGCACTCGTCAGAAGGGCAAAGGTAACATCAAAAACATTAAACCTGTGTGACATACAACGGCCCTATCCGGAAGGAAATAGTATATCAAAGCCATGCTGATGACGGGAACTTGCAGTTTGACAGCTTGGTAACGACTGGTGACTATGTCACAGCACGAGATGATGACGATCTGCATGTGGCCAGGGTATTTAAAGTCGGTGTTGCTTCTCATGCTTTCCAGTGCAAGAACCATACATACAAATACGGCATCGATTGCTAAGCTCTACAAACAAATCCTTCATAAACCCTCGGAGAGTCTTTTGCCTTCATGATTTTCCAGTTACCAGCCACACGAGAACCTTGAGAAATCACTCTCCATCTCACAGAGCTCTTCCAAAATGCAGTTCACAAGCATCCTAATCAGCCTCCTTTCTACGCTACCTAGCACCCTATCAGCGCCCGCATGCTCTATAGCTCACAATGATGACCCACAAATGTGCGGCTACGTCCTCACAGTCCAAAACAGCAGTGCCTACGCCGGCATCTCAGCATACTCATCGTGCACACCAGTATACTACAACCAATCCATTCCCGGATATCAAGCTGCATTCGCTTACAGTATATTTGGCGGGTGCCGATGTACATTTCACGGGTAAGCATCTCCTTGCAATGGGAAACTCCTAGGTTAAACATTGCTAGGAGCGAACAGGATTGTATAAGTGGAAAGGATGCGCCAGTGTATGAAGGGCCCATTGGGAAAGTTGGCAAGGAACCCCATTTCGGCGAGCCGAAGCCCAAGTGGTACAATTGTGAGACCTCGGCCTTTTAGGGCTACTGGCGTAGACGGGTCTGGATGTGGTGATGGCTTTTTTTTTAGAGCTTGCTTTGTTGGGATACCATTGGTAGGTTGTTAGCAGCGATATATTTTGGCCTGTTGAGTTCGTTCGTCCACCGTTGGTTTGTCTAGAAATATAAACTTTGATACGAGATTCCGCTGCGGCATGTGTCTTCAAGTACACGCTCTAATCACACTACACAAACGTTTCTATCAACAGTAGAAACAAAAATGAGATGCATTTTTTTGTGTAGATAAAAATAAAGGTCCTAGCTTTCGATCGCGTGTGCATGGATTGCCCCTCTATCCCTAACTGTAATAGCCACAGTAACCAATTAATTTCTTCCATACCCACTGTTTAGGAGTCGCCAGTCCACAGATTGAAGAAGACACCCGACCTTTCAATCACAGCCGTTGCTGCAAGTACTGGAGCTGAGGAAACCTTGAATTTTGAGTCAGTTCCTCACCGACCTTGTAGACCAAAAGCTTCAGATGAAGCAAATCGTAAGTGCACTTACCTTAAGAATCCATAGATCCAAAATTGTTTTTTGTTTACCATCATAACACTTGACACCGCGTACACTGTCTGTAGGGCAGCCTTCAGGAACAAAGCGAGGATCTCGGTGACTTTCATTTGGGCCCCAGTGAGGATGAACCCAGGGTCCTTTCGCTGCTTCGTGGGCGAGGACCTGGCACATGGTAGTAGCGGAGAAGAAGATGAAGAGATGGAGGAACTGCATCTTCGTGTTGTAACGGGTTATGATATGGGTGACCAAATGCGGCTAAATCAAGGTCGCTGAATGACCTAGGAGTGAAGGGAAAAGATGAAGTTTCGGGGCTGACGTATTTTGGACAGGAGGAAGAGGGTATTCCATCAGGGTTTTATACTGCTGATGGATTTCTGACCTCGATTATGTGGGAGGAAGAAGCATGTAATGGTGGAGAAGGACCAAGGAGGTATTTGAGATGGTTCGGATTCGCGTCGTACACTTGAGTCACAGAGGAAGCAATGCTAAGTAATTTTATGACATTGAAACGTCATCCCTTTCAGTCTTTTCCACACTAGGTCACCTTTCTGGTACGCGTTGTCATAGCTACCGTCACCCCATTTTCGCTTCCATGGAATGGCACCGCATCAGCGACTTGCACTTTGCTATTTACCATTGCCTGCAAAACGCATGGCTAAGCTACACTTCTACCATTCTAAACTGAAACTAGAAGGATGATGAGAGCGATTCCTTATATCATGACTGTACCCTAGAAACACAGTGGTAGGTGGTCACGAGTAATTGTACGGTCATCTACAAATTCCTTGCCTGACTCCTTCGCAGCTTCAAACCCTTTCGCAGCGTCATCGCACATCAAATCGAATCCTCCCAGTCTCCTGAGCTAGGATGCGTTTTTCCACATTATTTCTAAGTGCCTGCATGGCAGCAAACGTTTTAGCTTCTAAACACTTCCAGTAAGGACCAAGTTCTTAATGCATGTAGTGGCACTATCAAGGAGCAAGACTAATCACTCAGACAGCGGAGTCGGCTACGTCCGTGGTGGAAACAGCAACATTTACTTCCTTGAACTCACCAACGATGTTAAGATAATCACCGGTGATCGGCAGAGGGGCTGGTTTGTACGGCCTATTTGTTGGAATATCGAGCAAGGCTACTCCTGCAATTTCTACGAGCAATCGTGGACCGGTCACGGTCCTTTGATTGGCCAGTACGAGGGCTTCAGCGATGGCTGGTTTGGCAGCGAGTATGCAGCATATTATAAATGCTGGCGCACTGGCGACAAACGTCGGGACACCATCATCGAGAATCCACGCACTGGTATCGAACGTCGGCAGCGGCCAAACGACTGGCAGCGGCCAAGCGACTGGCAGCGGCCAAATGACAGGCACAAGCCGAACCTATTAGCAAGCTACCCGTGTGGCATTCTCGGAGTACGCTTTAACCTGGATAATACGTACAACATGGATTATGCTAATCTCAATAGTTTGATCAATAATAGTTTCGATCTGGTGATTCTCACAAGTGATACATATGGGTTCCTCAATATTACCACTACGAGTGCTTTCTTGCGCTTCGGGCACTCTGATCCTATGCAGAAGGGTTAGTGCGACAACGAATGAGGAAATTTGCAGCGATATGCTTGGAGTATTTGTATACTTAGTGCGGGAAACAAGATAATGTACCAATTTCGTGTATTTGATAAGTATAAGATTTCGTTTGACAATTGTGCCAGGTACTTTAAATTCTGGTACGCAATATTGCACTAATAAGCTTGAATAACGCGCTTCCGATTGATGTATACCATATGTGATATTGACGGCGACGGGATCTTTGTGACTTCGAGATTACATGATGATAGGGATGCAGTACTGGCAATTAGGTTTCATGAGGGTGGGTGTGAGTGAGATGGTGAAGTCGGAGGTCCGAGGCGCTCCCATTGGCGGCCGGTGCGATAAGATAAGGACCCAAAATTTCCATTGCGCCTTGCGAACTTCCTCGATGCTTGCATGCGACACCACACCTCGATACCCCACGCGCCACCCAACATCCACAAGCAATAAGAACGTCAGCACCGAGAATCGCACACTGAGCTTCATTCAATCAGACGACCATTTCAACGAACTACTAGCACAATGATCCGGAAACAAGCGCGTGAAAGGCGCGACTACCTCTACCGCCGCGCATTAACTCTGCGCGATGCAGAACTTGCATCCAAGAGAGCCGCACTCAAAGAGTCTCTCGCAAGCGGAAAGCCGCTGTCAAAAGACGTCGCCAACGACACATCCTTAAGAGAAGACTACAAGTACGACGAGAGCAGAGCAGATAGGACAGTCGAGGAAGAGCTAGGCTTGGATGACGAATATGCGCAGCTATCTGGAGTCGTCGACCCGAGAATCCTCGTCACAACCAGTCGGTACGAGCGACGCTTTTTCTTCGCTGAGCGCAGGCCACCTACTAACGTATGCGTGATACAGAGACCCATCTAGCAGACTCGGCACTTTTGCCAAAGAAATCCGATTACTCCTCCCCACATCCATCCGCCTGAACCGCGGAAACATGATTCTGCCCAACCTAGTCGAAAGCGCAAAGTCTGGAGGTCTAAGCGATATAGTACTCCTACACGAACACAGAGGTACTCCGACTGCATTGACAGTCTCGCACTTCCCCCATGGACCCACAGCCAGCTTCTCGCTTCGTAAGTCTTGTTCTTTACTATCATCCCTTTCTATTTCAAAGATGACGCACAAAGCTGACAAATAATATAGACAACGTAGTCCTCCGAGCAGACATCCCCAACTCCTCGCGCGGCACAGTCTCAGAAAGCTACCCGCACCTCATCTTCGAAGGCTTCACCACAAAACTCGGTCAACGCTGCGTTCAGATTCTAAAACACCTTTTCCCGCCTCGAGAAGCAAATGCTAAAGTGGGGAATCGTGTGGTTACGTACGTTCTTCTCCTCTCCTCTCCTCTTCTCTCCTTTCTTACGTTGCGTTTTCTAACATTTTTTTAACCAGATTCAAGAACATAGAAGATACAATTGAAGTCCGCCATCATGTTTTCGTAAAGACAGGATACCAATCCGTGGAACTGGCGGAGGTCGGGCCGAGGATGAGCATGCGCTTGTTTGAGATTCGGGCGGGGACGTTGGATAATAAGGAGGGGGATGTGGAGTGGCATCTCAACCAGTACACAAGGACGGGCAGGAAGAAAGATTACTTGTAGGGGTTTGAAGGTTATGCATAAAATCGGCTAGGCTGCCTTCGCTTACAAGATATTAACACCATGTGGAGGCTGGCCAGGAAGAAATGATGAGGAAAAGGGGGCATAAGAAAAGTCGATTCGAAGTCATTTTGCACATAGCAACGGTTTTATACATTCGAATCAGGAGCAAGACGTCAAAGCATGTATGAAGGACAACAAAAGAGCCCAAAAATATCAGTATGCAAAATTGCAAACTTTTCCTAGGCGACTTGGGCTTTGTCGAGTAAAGCCGGGTTCTATGCAGCTCACATTTGACCTATGCCATCATCTTTTCTATATTCTGACTCCGTACTAGTAATAATGCGAATAAGCTAGGTTCCTCACATCATGCAACCGTTCGATTTGCTCGAGTGCAAGTCAGAGACACCCAAGCGCACACGCTGGCCATTGATCATCACGTAGCTTTCCACAAGCCACTCATACCACACCTTGCGGTCATCAGTTTGTCTCCAGAAGCTGACTTCGACCTCTGAGTTGGCGGGCAGCTGCATAGGATTCTGGGGTAGATGTCAGTATATGTACTCACAGACATCAAAAACCAACAAATCTACAGTGTAACATACCTTGAGAGGGAACAAGATTGGGAACCACGAAATCATGTCCTTGCTCTTCTGCTCCATTGTGACGGGGTTGGTGCTTAGTTCTACAGGACCCTCGGAACCGCTGTACAAGACAGTCTCAAAGTAAGCGCCCAAGCCATGGCAGGCGCCAGGCTCTTGGATTGGGAAGGCGATTCTGCAATAGCGCAAGTTGTGTTCATTCGCACCATCGCCTCCGCAGAAGCCGCCTCCACCCCCTACTGCCGACCCGCCCTTACGCAGCGAAGACTGAGCTAGAACTGTCGGTGGAAGAGGATGGGTAAACTCCCACGCAGTCCGTACATTTGGTGCTAGAGGTGGTTCGAGGTTGAAGTTTTGCATCTTGGTGCCGTTGCTGAGCTGCTGAGAGGCAATCGTCTCTTTGGCTTCTGTAGACAAAAAGTCGAATTGTGACAGCATGACGACCCAGGGGATATCGAAAGCGTTTGAGTCTATACTCGTACTACGGTTGTACAAATCTGCCCAGAGCTTTGGAGTGGCAATTGGAGTAAAGTGCGCAGTGTAGCTGGAGGGTATCGAGATGCCATGGGTGGGGTTCAAGACATGCTGGACACCGTCGAGACACTCTGGCGACAACTCGTTGTCGGCAAAAGACCCAAGCAGTTCACTCACGAGAATGTCAACCTGGCCAAACGTGCCATCTGCTTTCGATGGGCCTTTCCAGGCTCTCATATCCGTCTTGACAACTGTGACACGTCCGCCCCAAGTCTCAATGTTACGGCGCTGTAACAGGACGTAGGCGTTTGGGTTCTTCTCAATCGCATATACTTTTACAGGGACGCCGGAGCTCGCACTCGCATTGAGTGCACGTGTTACGAGTGGCCCACGGCCCGATCCTACGACTGCAATAACGACGGCGCCATTATCTGAGCTCGTCGACTTCTGCTGTGTATGCCAATCGCGTAGCGCCTGTGCAATTGCTCGCTCGTACCACGCGTATTTGATTGGGTCTTTCTCAAACACCTCATAAGTGATGGATTCCAGATTATCAGTCAGGGGTTGCAGTGGGCTCTGGAGGTAATCTTGGAAGCCACCACCAAAACGCTCAATCTGGCTTTTGGGAGGTTGGTTGCGCTGCAGGTATCGCATGTAACTCAGGTGTGGTGTAGGATCATTGCTGCTGCTGCTCTTTTTTGGTGATTTCTTTGCCAGTTGAGCTGCTTCGGCCGGAGTTGGTGCTGCCGTTGAAGAAGCAGGGCTCGGTGCGTCCTCTACCATGTGAGGGGATAGATGGCCTGTGGAATATGACATGATCATGTCTGGGTCGTCAATGCCTGGGAGTGGGCCGACGTCCGAGATGAGTAGCCAAGGCCCGCGCTGCAGACGCATAGCCCGGAAAATGAAGACTTGGTGTGCCTTTGACAGGACGAAGGATTGACGGGCATTGACCAAAAAGGACGATGTCGACAGATTGAGGAGTCTGACGGGCTCTGAGAACCAGCGCGACTGAAGTGAAAGCGACGGAAGTCGGCGCGGGAGATCAAGCACTGAGGCAATTGAGTTAGCAGAGAGAAGCATAATCTGACGAGGCACAATCTTCCTGGTGGAAAGAAGAATACTTACTGATTGATAGTCTGCTGTGGTAGTTGCAGATGGACCTGATGGTATTCCACGCATCCCACGAGCTCCAAGAGTTGATGTTCTTTGCTTCGGGACTGGGCTCAAACTCTGGTCTGGCAAAGCGTGCTAAGTCTCCGACGTCCGCTTCAGTAGGTTCTGGCTGCTTGCCGTCCATGGGTAGTTGGATATGGAGTTGAAGGTAAGACCCCGTAATAAGGGCCTCTTTGATCGAGCGGGCATATTGAGACACACCAGCCTGTCCATGGGCGAGTCTCGGCCCTGGCACGACAACGTTTGTGACACCGCAGAATGCGGCGAAGGCAATCTCGAGGTGAAAGACTTGTCGCGACAGATGGGCGATAAGTGGATCGGGCGAGGACAGGTCAATCCATGGACTAGCAAAGGTTACGAGCTGGCCGATGATGTCGGTCGGACCGAGAGGTGTGTCAAAATTGTCCAGTGCAGGTATCAAGGGCAGCGGCTGCGCTGGAGACTCAGCGAGGGACTGAATGTACGAGTTGAGGATGCCGAGGACACGGTTATGGAAATGGTCATTGGTGATTGGGCTCGTGAGCATATCATACTGGCCATGGTCAGTCGCGGTTCCTGCATATTCTCGGCGGCACCTACTCCGAGATCTTGGGCGTGCTGGACCAGTTCCGGCGACACATCGAGGCTGCGCTTCGACTCATGTTGGCCAATATAGAAAATGGCGGCTGACTCATCCATTCCTTCCGAGTAGTCCATTTTGCCAAGGGGGGTCTGAACAGGGCGAAAATGTGTGTAGCGGCTAAGGAAATATGACTACGGAAAAGATGGTGGAGAAGACTGCAGCAGCGGAGCACGGCAGCGGGGTTGTCGGTGAGGCG